GTAGAAATGCATCACCTACCACCTTGATGACACCTATAGCCATTGCTCGGCCTGGCCCGTCTATGCACCTAAGCAGTCGCAGTCGAGCCCGGCAGAAAGCCCTTCGCTCCCCGCACCACCCTCCCCTCCCAGGGCCGAGGGTTGGGCTCCGAGAGGCTGCAGACCCACCTGTTCGCCGCTGGCTGTTTCTGAGCTGGAAGCAGACCCGGCTGGGTATGCGCAATCTGGGGGTTGAGGACGTTAGCGATCATTGCCAGGCAGACTGGGGTCTCTTCCCCCGGGTGACAGCAGCGGGTGGCCTTTCCCCTGCTTTGCCTGGCGTGGCTCACCTTTCAGAACAGTGTTCATAGCACCTGGGCCAGGGCTGAGGCTGTGCTGGACTCCCTGCGAGGAGCAGCAGGGGCTTCTGGTCCCCACCTCACCTGGAGCGAGGGGCTGACCCCTCACCGCCCACCGGGCCCATCTGCAGACCGCAGGTGGGAGGTGCCCGTGCCCTGGCGATGCTGGGACAGCCCCGTCCAGCAGAATTTCCCACCAGGACGTGGGAAAGGAGCCCCTCGCCTCACGAGGCACAGAGCACGGGACATGTGCTGAGTACATGGGCAACCGACATCTATTTAATTTCCCTTCATCCAAACCAAAGTAGTGGGTGTGGGCTTTTGCGGATGTTCCCGTTTTTAGAAAGAGGCTCGGACTCCCCTCCACAGGGCGGTCTGACCGCGTGCGTCTCTCTTGCAGCCTTCGGACAAGGAGGTGTTCAGCCGCTCGGTGACCAGCCTGGCCACGGACGCGCCCCTCAGCAGCGACCAGAACGGCGCACTCACCAACGGGGACAGTAAGTCCCCACACACGCCACACGGGACTCATCCCCCAAGACCAGGGCTCCAAAGGCGTAGCCAAAGGCTAGGAAGTAGGAACTTGCTCACGGTTTGCACCAGTTTTAGCAAAAGTCGTCTCAGGGATGGAAAGCTCAGGTGTGCCGATTGGCTAGGGCGGCCCTGCTGACTCACTCGGCCTGAAGCCGCTGGCAGGTGGCCGTTACCGACAGGACCTCCTGCCTGTGAGAGCAGCATTAACGTGAGCAGCGTCACTGCCCGCAGCACGCAGGGAGGGCGGCTCGGGCCGCGGCCGCAGTTTCCACCAACTTAGATCCGCAGCTCAAGTGAAGGGGCTTCAGCCCCAACATCAGTGTGGACCCACCTGAGCTCCTCCTCCCTGCCTCGCCCTCGGCCCACGGCTCTGTTCCCACTGTCCCGCCCGCCTGTCTCAATGGGCACCTGGTAATGCACCTGCCCACCTACCCCAGGCTGCTCTGTTCTGCTCAGCTCAGCTGGTACTTCCACTGTCTCTAGACCAGGGGTGGGCAACCTTTTTGTGAGTGCGTGCCAAAACCAGCAAAATCTCTGACTCAAAATTCTTCTGCGTGCCAACCCTCATTTTTTGAGAACATGTGTGATGACGTCACCGGGCTACTGCTGTAGCGCGCATCGAGAGAAACATAGACATTTATTCCCCTTTCATTAGTACCGGTGGGCAAAGCGAGAGAGAAGGTTTCATTTTTATAGAGTGAAATTTTGAATAAGTAGGTGAGGCAGTTGTCTTGTCAACGAAAACCCGTTGCGTCTGAGGCTGAAACCAAAACACTGGTCGGATCTAGGAAGGCAGGGAGAGTTAAGGCAGAGGCATAGAAATTGCTCTTCCCCTCTCTCGTCAATCCATGTCTATGGTCTTTAAGATAACTTGTTATGTAAAATTATTTATCTAAGATGCACCTACACTGAATTTATCTGAAAAATAAAAAAGTCGGTATTAAGAAAAAAATTGTAAATGGAAGATTATAAGAAAGGGTTTCGCGTGCCAGCAAAAGTTACTGGCGTGCCATGTTTGGCACGAGTGCCATGTTTGGCACGCTAGCCAGGGGTTGCCCACCCCTGCCCTAGACCCACCCTGCCCATACCTCTCTCCCTCACAGCCCCTCCCCGCCCCCCGCCCATCACCTCTCTCCCTCACAGCCCCTTTCTCCCCCTGCCCATCACCTCTCTTCCTCACACCCCCTCCCCCATCACCTCTCTCACAGCCCCTCCCCCATCACCTCTCACTCAGGGGCTGCAGGGACTGGGACTAGGACCCTTTGAGACCATGGTTCTCCCTGCACAGGTTGGGCATTTACCTGAGGTCTCAGTCAGTGCACCAAGGGGCTGTGTTTAAACTCGGCATCTGAGTTTCGGGCACATCCTTGGGACCACCTGTCCCACCCCTGCCTCTTGCTGCAGGAGGCCCTGCGTGTGTGCGTGTGTGCGCGCGTGTGTGCGTGTGTGTGCACGTGTGTGCGTGCGTGCGCGCGTGTGTGTGCGTGTGTGTGTGTAGCCAAGTGTGTGTGTAGCCAAGACACTAAATGTTGCCGGGAAGACGTGATTGAACTGAGAATGTCGACTAACAAGCGGGCCGCCTGTGCCTTGCAGCCGAGTCGCACACAAGTAAGCGCAGCAGCAGTTCCCTGGGATAATAATTCGGGGTGTCTTTCTCCCCTTTCCCTCCGCTCCAGTCGCCTCGGAAGGCAGTGCCGGGACCTGCGCGCAGCATTACGAGGAGGTGCTGGCCGCCGCCTCCGACCTGCTGGACGCCCAGGACGGCTCGGGGAAGCCCAAGGGCCACCAGAGCCGGGAGCTGCCCCAGATCCCCCCGGACAGCGCCGTGGACACGCTGGCCAGCACCGGGAGCGTGGACGGGGACCAGGGGGCAGGGGCAGAAGGGCCCTACGAGGTGCTCAAGGACAGCTCCTCCCAGGAGAACATGGTGGAGGACTGTCTGTATGAGACGGTGAAGGAGATCAAGGAGGCGGCCGCACCCCCGGGCAAAGGCCCCGGCGGCCGGTCCAGGGCGGCCCCCGCTCCCAAGGAGCCGCCGGCGCCCCAGGCCCCGGGCAGAGCCGACTTCGCGGAGTACGCCTCGGTGGACAGGAACAAAAAGTGTCGGCAGAGCATGAACGTGGACAGTGTGCTGGGCCCTGCCCGGGACGCAGAGGAGGAGGCCCCACCGCCGGTGCCCGTGAAACTTCTGGACAAGAACGAGAACCTGCAGGCGCAGGACAACAGCGCCTCAGAGGGGACCCAAGAGACCAACAAGGTGAGCGCCTGTGGCCACAGGAGTCGGGGCCTGGGCTCCTCCTGGCTGTGTTCGGGGAGATACACACACACGCACACACACACACACACACACATACACACACAGGCCTGCGTGCGTGCTGTGTCGGACCTTTTCCCTCCAAGTAGTGAAACACTGAACACGCAAGCTTATCAAATCGCTCTCTCATGGCACCGTACCTGGATGTTTTCCCGATTTTGCATCATGTCAAATCGGAGCCAAGTGCTGCTTTCTTCCTTGTTTTCCCGATTTTGCATCATGTCAAATCGGAGCCAAGTGCTGCTTTCTTCCTTTTGAAACCGGGAAATAAGGCGCGAGACCCGACTCTTGGCCACGCGGTTCGTGCCCTCTGCCTGCCGTCTCCTCCAGCAGCCAGGTGACCTCTGTCCTCTCCGGTCCCAGTCCTCAAAGCAAGGAGCAGGCACAGGAGACGACTCATGGTGCCACTGGTTGTGTCCGACTAACTTTATACTGTTTTTTTTAAGCAATAGAGTACAGTACTCTTTTTTAAAAATCTATTTTTATTGATTTCCAAGAGGAAGGGAGAGGGGGAGAGAGATAGAAGCATCAATGATGAGAGAGAATCATTGATCGGCTGCCTTCTGCAGGCCCCCCCATTGGGAATGGAGACCGAAACCCCAGCATGTGCCCTGACAGGAATCAAACCTGGAACCCAGTCTGCATGCCGATGCTCTATCCCTGAGCCAAACCGGCCAGGGCTGAGCTTTATACTTTTAGTGAGAGATTGTGTTTTGTGACAATTTCTGAACAGCAGCCCATCCCTCCCATTTAGATATTCAGCAAAGCTCTAAGTGCCGCGACCCCCAAGCTCTCCCGTGCTTCTGTGACCTGGTGTGTGAGTGACGGTCCGAGACCTTCTCCTGTTCCCGTGGGTCTCACTAGGCTTGGTCTTCTTTAGGCAGCTGACATCTAGGTACTATGTTCTGCACAGAAAAAAGCAAGTTTGCTTCTTAGGTTCTGGTAGGAAGGCCACATAGGGGTCAGTCCGACAGTAGCAGCCTTTAGACCGTTCTGGAGTTCATGGTCAGAGGTGAACGCTGGCACTAAGTCGGTCCTCGTAGTGTTTCCACTTTTCAGATTTTCCACGAAATCAGCTGCCCAGAGCCCCTACAAAGGTGATCGTAGTCGTGAAATACAAACACAGTCTAATGTTTGCCCTTTGCGTAACCAAAGAGGATGACATGAATGTAAAGTGTTTGTCCGTGAGGGTGGGTTCCCGGGGACCAGGGCGGGGCTGGGGTTACGGTGGGGCTGGGAGGCTGAGCCAGGGGAGCAGAAAGGAAGGTCCCCGGTGAGGCAGACACCGGGAGGGGCCCGGGCAGCAGCCAGCGCAGACGGGGTGGTGAGGAGTCCGGATGGTGGAGCGGCTGTGGGCTGTGGTTCAGGTACGAGGAGGTCGGGCTGTGGGGCCAGGACATGAGCGGTGGGGCCGTGTGGAGGAGGGCGGTGGGGGAGGTCGCGGAACTGAGGGCTGGGTTTGAAAGGACGCGTGTTTGTTGAAATTGTTGAAATCGGGGAGAATGTGGGGAGACAGGAGAGGTGTGGGAGAAGCGAGGCAGGAGCCTGCCGCCAGCGCGAGCTGCCTCTCCGTTAGCTCTGATAAGGTTCCCGGTGGCTCGGGAATCTTTCCAATGACTCGTGCACACTGTCCGGACACAAGATCCAGGCATGACATAAAGAAGCCATGTTTTTTATGATTGATTCTTCATTGATGATCAATCCGTCACCGACAGGAATTGAAACAGTAGTCTGCTTGGCTTATTTGTACCGACCGGTTCAAATACAAAAGTGGAAGAAATGTCTGTTCTGCTACTGGCTCTCCAGAAACATCACAGAGTAGGCTTCTTGCGTGTGTGTTCCTCCTGGGCTTTACACAATGTCATTGCAGAACATCCTCGATTTCCTAACAGTCGTCTGAGAGCGTTCTTACAGAAAGATGCCGCACACAGGCAGCTGCCGGCATCGACGTCAACCCCCCCCGCCCCCCCGTTTCTGTTTTCCTCACAGAGGTTCAGTGCCCTGTCGTACAAGTCCCGCGAGGAAGACCCGACGCTCACAGACGAAGAGGTGAGTTCTGTGGCTTTCTAAAGGGAGTTTGTTGGTTTTTAGAGAGAAGAAGGGAGAGGGAGAGAGAAGGAAAAAAACACTGATGTGAGTGCATCGATCGCTGCCTCCTGCACGCCCCCTACTGGGGATCGAGCCCACAGCCCGGGCATGTTCCCGGATCGAACCTCTTGGTGATGGGATGACGCCCAACCACTGAGCCACACGGGCCGGGGGGGGTTATAGCTTTGTAATCACCAGGAAGCCCCTGTGGTGAGACCAGAGTCCCTCCTGGTGCACCGCGTCGCTGACCCTCCGTGTGAGAGGCTGAGCCTCTCTGACATGCTGCGGGAGCTGGGTCCGGGTGCTGGCTCGGCAGTGGCTCAGGTGGAGGGACTGGCAGGTGGGTGGGCAGGTCCGCTGAGTAAAGGAGACCTAGGAAAGGAGGGTCAGGAAAGCCGGGGGTGGGGGGGAGGAGGAATAAGAGAGGGACTTAGGAACAAGAGTCTAGTTGGCATTCCGATGTCCGTCCGCGCAAGGGGAAGGCCATCGTGGGTTGGAAAAAACAGGAAACTGGAACGGCTGGGGGTGTGGAGGGGGTTGACCAGAAGGGAGCCTGAGGGGGCTGCGTCGAGGGGGCTGCAGGCAGAGGGCGTGAGTTCCTGCCCGGCTGCGCCAGCCGTCAGCCAGCCGTACAGCCAACAAGGCCGCTTGCAGGTTCTCCCAGCTCCGGGCCGAGGAGGCGCTGGTTAAAGGTCCAGGGAGCGTGAGAGGTGAAGGCCAGCCGTGCGTTGTCTTGTCTGTCTCGCCTGGCTCAGAGAGCTGGGCGCCCTCAGCGGTCGGGCTGCAGGTGGCTGCCCTCGGACCTGGCAGGGAGTCCCGTCCGCGTGCAGAGGTGGTGGCGGGTGCAGGCAGCGCCTCCTTGGGGGTCCGAGTGAGGATGGAGCAGCAGGCACTGCGGCCGGGGACAGGAGCAGAGAGGCTTGCCGAGGGTGATGCCGCCCACCCTCCAGGGTCCTCCCCGGGGAGGCACCTGCCATCTGGCCACCTGGTTTCGTAAGCCACACCTGGGGGTCATCCTTGACACCTGTTCCTCACCATCCTCAGATGCAGCCAATAGCCACGTCCCTCAAGTCCACCTCCAAACGGTTTCTTCCGTGTCCCGTCTTCATCCCACAACCCCTCCTGCCTGGGCAGGCGGGCCCTGGCCTTCCTCCAGCATCTCCCATGTGGTGCCAGAGCCACCCCTTTGGGACAAGAGAATAGAATGTATAGGGTGTCCCAAAATTCACGCAGGAAGTAATTTTGATAGAAAACACAGGTTTATAATTAAAAATTGTAAATTTTTTATTGATTCATAAAGTATACCATATAGGGTTATGTATGGAATAGCACATCAGGTAACTGGCCTCCACGGCTTTGCTGCTACATACACAAAGCCGTGGTCTTCATTGGTCTTCATTGTCCCTGCTCCTGAGCCATAATTGGTACTTGGTAATGCTTATCAAATTGAAGGGATTGAAATCAAAGGGCAACAGATATTAGAATCTGATTCAATAAACCAAGTAAAATTAGGCTTTTATTTTTTGTTGTTGTTGTTGTTGATGCTCACGCAAAATTCAAATCTTGCGTGAATTTTGGGACACCCTATATAAGAGACCTGGAAGTGAATCCTATTAAAATAAACCAAGACCATGTGAAACTTTAAATTACTTATGAGAACATAATCTACAGACTGAGTAATAAAAATGAAAGATTTTAAAGAGAAAAAAAATCAAAGCTAAGGCCTTGAAGAGAAACCTGTATGCAAAACAGAACTATAGTCACAGAAGACAGATACTCAAGAGGAATATTAGGAGACGCGAGAAACTTCTATCAGGAAGTTCACTGTGACGCTCTGCATGTGATGCTCGTGTCCAGGGATGATATCAGTGGAGGAGCCTGTAATTTGTTAGAAGAGGGTTTCTCCCCAGGGAAGGACCTGGAGGTGAGGGGCCGGCTGTCACCTTTGCAGTGCAGGCGCCACTGTGTCTGTCCCCCTGTGTGACCCCGAAGATGAAGGTGAGTGTGGCTGGCCCCCACATCACTGGCACCCACGATTTACCCCTTTATAACCTGTCCACATTCCGGCTGGGACTACTTTCTGGATAAAAGGTTCCATGTGTTTGCAGTCACTATGAAAAGCAGACGATTTATTCATTCTTCCCAAATTCAAAGAAATTGTGTCTTCATTTTGAGAGTCATTTTTCCATTAGAACCTCTAAGGTGAGAATGTCTGGTGAACAGTCGTCAGAATAGTCAGACCACCCACGGTTGCTCCTGTGCCTAAACCTTCGGGTCGTCCAGGCCTGTGGGACCGTCCTCATGGAGATGACCAGCGGCCGTCCGGGAGGCCCGCGGCCAGCGGAGCTCCCCTCTCCCCGCTGTGGGGGCCCCGTGGAGGCGGCAGAGCCCTCCGCACGCGCAGGCCGAGCGTCTGTCAGGAATCAGGACGCATGTTCGTTATTCCTGGGTGTTTTTATAAATCAGTCACGGGGCCAAGGAAGGAAACGTTTACTTATTTCCAACCACAATTTCTAACAATAAAATAACAGCCCAGACCGTCTCCTAATCTGTACACCTGCTCTCCCATCACCAAGGCAAACTAAGTCGCTCTCACTGTTGGAGCCTCTGTGGGTACGTTAGGGACGCTGAGTAGCTTGGAAGACAGCCCGATCCTCGCACAGGAAAGTCTTCCCATCTCTGATTACCTCCAACTCCGCTTCTCGGTTAGCTGGTTGGAAACGAGAATGCGTTTCCCACCGAAGTTTCTGTGCGTGTTCGCTGAACCAGCAGCACCTGGTGAAACCAAAAGGCATGGGCCAGACTCTTACAAACGCGTGTGCGCGCCGACCAGCAGAGCCCAGGACCCGCCTCCGGCCGCGCTGTGCGGGACAGGCGGTCCAGGCCCACTTCCTGGCTCTCACACTCTGGGTGACAGGCCGGCCAGCCCCAGGTTTCTGCCTCAGTGGTTCTGGGGGCGGAAGTTGCCTTTCTTGTAAATTTCTGGATCCTGCTGGTTCAGTGCCCACAGTGTGAGAATCACTCGTCTCATACATGCTTCCTGCCGAGTTTGTAAAGCAGTGGAGCCCCTTGTCAGCTGAGAGAGGCTTCCGATGTAGAAAGACTGCGTCCCTCGGGGCCTTGGGCTGCCGCGCCCCCTCCTGCCCGCCGCAGGCGCTGAGAGCCGGGTCTTCGTGGGCTTGTGCCGACACGGCCCGTCTGCCTGAAGATAGTCTGGTAATTGTTCTCTAGCAACGCATTCCAGGCACTGAAGAACCCACTTCTGGGCATTTATCTGAAGGAAGTGAAGTCACTGCCTCAGGAGGCGCCTGCACCGCACGTGACGCAGTGCTGGTCACACAGCCAAGACCTGGGAGCAGCTCAGTGTCGATCTACAGACGAATGGGCAAGAAAATGTGATCTCACATACATGTCAGGTGTCTGTGCGGAATATCCAAGTGGACAGACACAGTGGATACTATTCAGCCATAAAAGAAGGAAGTCCTGCCAGTTGTGACCTTGAGGCCATCTGCCAACTGAAGTTACCAGACAGGGAAAGACAAACAGTTTATGTTCTCAAATAAATGTGGCCTCTGAAAAAGCTGACCTCACAGAGATAGAGCAGACTGGTGGTGGCCAGGGGCTGGAGAGATGGGGGTGGGGAGATGTTGGTCAAAGGGTACACACTTCCGACTACAAGATGAACAGGTGCTGGGGGCGTCCAGCATGGGACTAGAGGTAGCGCTACGGTTGTGCTCTGTGCTCAGAATTGTTCCGAGAATCAAGCTTAAGTGTTGCCACCACACCCTAAAACTGGGGGCCCGGTAATGGAGGTATTCCCTGACCTTACTGTGGCAGTCCTTTCACAACGTACATGTGTGTCAGATCGTCGTGTCGTGTCCCTTAACCTGACACACGCTGCCTGTCGGTTCCGTCTCAATGAGCTGGGGGTGGGAATCTGATCTGGGCTCTCTACACCGGTTCTTAAAGGGACACACACCCTGGGTGCTCAGTCTCCAGTTTGTCACTAAAGAGGGGAGGGGCGGTCCAGGTGAAGGGTTTCTATTTGACTCACCCTCTGTCTTCCAGATCTCGGCCATGTACTCATCTGTCAATAAACCTGGGCAGTCGCTCAAAGTGCCCGAGTCCAGCGACACCTGCAGCCCAGGAGCTGCCCGGAGGTCCCCATCGTCCTGCAATGACCTCTATGCAACCGTCAAAGACTTCGAGCAGCCTCCCAGCGGCGCGGGCACACTGGCCCCAGCAGCCAGGCCCCGGGAGCCCGAGCCCGACTACGAGGCCATCCAGGCTCTGAGCAGAGAGGACGAGAAGGCCACCCTGGAGCCCAGCAGCCTGCGCGGCCCCTTCCCAAAGGAGAACGACTACGAGAGCATCGGGGACTTGCAGCAGTGCCGGGAGGTCACCAGGCTCTAGCAGCCCCGGCAGCGGTCGATCGGGGACAGGAGACCAGGGCGCTGTCCCTTCGAGTCACGTGCTGCTTCCTTGGCCGAGGGCATGAAGACTCCAGGACGGAACAGGAAGGCGCACACCTGGCTGCCAGGGCACCCTGTCTGCCAGGCACGGCCACACCCGGCACAAGTCCCCGTGTTCCCACACCCTCGGACGGGTCCCAGCGTTGGGATGTGCCGTTTGGAAGAACCAGGTTCCCTTGTTTCTACTCTTGGGGCGTTTGCTCTGGTCCCCTTGAAATCGCCCCATTTCTACTGGCTCCTTCCAAGGAAATCGCCCCCAGGGCTTGGCCTTTGCCTTCAACGTAGGTGTTTTCAGATGGTGTTTTCAGATCTGTGGTTGCCACTCCCGACGGATCACCCAGCGTCTTCTGGGGACGCCCTCGAGGGCCTTGGGTCTCCGTGCCTTCTGATCCGGGCACTCCACGTCAGCAGCTTCTCCCAAAGGACTTGAAGTCACTTTTAGATGCTTTATTTTATTTTTCTAGCCAAAATGCCCCCCCCCCACCCGGTGTTTGAAACTTCAGAACCTTTGCAGTATTTGCGGTGAGTGCTGTGGTACTTCCATACTTGTTGGAGCCCGGAGCCCATTCCTCCAGCACACAGCTGGACGCCGTGACGCCGCCTGGCAGGGCTGTGGACTTGACCGTGGGTCTCTGAGGATCTGTGCGGCCACACCAGCTGCGCCGGGCCCTCACGTTAACGGCCACCCTAAGGTAATCTAGCTGAGATTAAAATGTAAACATTTATTTTTGTTATCTAAATTTATAAGATGTCTTATGTTTAATGCCTAATTTCTAGAAAGTGTCAGAAAAAATGTATATTAACTATTTTGATTTTATGTACAATGATTTATACTCTCATTTTGAAAAAAATCACCACAAAGCACATAAGCTAGGTACTTACTAGTCATCATTATCGTTTTTCTAATGAAGTATTTAAAACATTGAAGGTTTTTAAAGACTCAGACTTTTCAAATGGTACTTGGAGCTCTTGGTCAAAATCACCTAGCTCTCGCAGGAATCAGTGGAATAACCATAAATGGTCGTTTTCAGTGGTTTGTGATGAGAAATATGTAAAAATTTGAGATGGTGAAACGGGAAAGAAGAACAAAGCCTGACTGAGGGCGCCTGGACCACTTCCCTCAGGGCCACTCCGCGGCGGGCTCCCGGGAAGGCAGCGTGATGAGCGTCACTGGGGGAGCAGGGGGTCTACCGGATTCTCTCCCCTTCACTCTACAGAGCTCGGTGTCGGCAGTTACTCAGGTCGAGAGATCACCCTGGTTTGAGTTTAACCATCTCTTTGGAGGTCATGAGGCCAACTGTGGGACTTGCTCACTTTTCACTCTAAAAGGAGCCCCGTGGGCCAGGCCAGCGTCGGAGGTGGCTGTCCAGAGGCCCCTGGCACCTGGGAGGGCTCGTCACTGGTGTGTCATCACTGTTTACACCTTACAGTTCAGTATTTCATAAATCCCATCACTTTTACTGTATTTGTTGCAAAATCTGTGCTACAGTCTTTGAATTGGACAAAAGCCATGACTTCTCTCAAAAAGGTTTTTATATTTAAATGCTACAGTTTAAACATATGAAAGGTAATTCTCAAAAAAAATTGCTGTATCTTTAAAATTCAACTTTGGCATCCATATTAGGCATTGCATTACAATAACTTAGGTTATGTAAAATTATACAAAAAGATAAAAATAATTTTTAGGAAAACCTTTTCATCTCCTAAATCAGAATTATAAACTTATCTTGCTTAAAAATAGGATCTTTGTCGTTGTTCCGATATTTGTTACATTTAAAAGAATTTCTTCCCGCTGCTTTGACTATTTCTCGGATACAGTGAGCAGGAAAGTGTCGCCTGTTTTATGTGAAATGTTTGGGTCCATGTTGTAGGTGTTTCCACGTGCATTTTTCCCCTGCCTGCGCACTCTGGAAGTTGCTGCTCTCCTTCATGGGGAAAAAGCAAATTACTGATTTCTTTGCTCTCAAAATCCAAGAGTTCATTTGAATTGAGAGCTAATTAGCAATAGGTAGTCAACACAAAGAAATAAAACACAACCTCTGTTTCTCATAGTGGATTTTCATTTTTTTAATTGGAGCATTTACTAACTTTAACCAGTAACAAACTATATATATATATATGATATATCTATATCTATTTGTAGATATAGATATAGATATATCTCATATATATGTTCTGGTGCTTAATTAATTAGGATAGATCCTATTATCCTATTTAGTGTTTTGAATGTTTATTTTACTAGTGTGAAGACTATCATCATAGAAGCAGGACAGAAACAATTCTCCAATAGCTCTCACTTGATAACTGTAGGAAAACCTTCTCAAGTTGCCCTCATTTAATTTTTCTAATGAATAAATTCAGACTTTAAATCAAATCCATAATTCCTTCAGCTGTTCAGCAGTGGTATTTTAAGTAGTTTTATTACCCATGTGACTCGGACAGGTGTTGGAGAAGAGATCTGGCCAAAAGCTCCAAGAGCCAGGACGGGCACAGCAAGGGGACCCGCAGGTCGCAGGCAGAGCCACTCCCATGGGGCCATTTCCCGCACTTTCTTAGAAACCACAGAGCCCGCAGGCGCAGTGCAGTGAGCTGTGGGAGGTGACTGCTCTGAGCTGAGGGCCGGGCTGGCATCACAGCTTTGGTGCGAGACGGCACTAGGACTTTGTAAACGAGTCAGCGACAGTTTTCAGTGCTTCTGTGGGAGTGTGACTCCGCGGACCCGGGGATGCCAGGCCCTGATGGTGCCCGGCCAGCTTCGGCGATAAACCGTGGGTACGACAAGCTCACTGTGCCGTGTGATCGGGCGAAGCTAACGTGTCACATGTGCTGTTACTAAGCGATGGATGTGAAAATGGGAACCTGTGTCTGTGATATCACATGTGGCTTCATTCACTTCCTGGGCCTGAGGCGGTGCTGTTTGCTCTGTGTTGTACCTTTCTTCGCTATGCTGCTTCTGACCAAGGCGATAGGCAGGTGTCCACACTTAGAAAGTATTTGAGGAAGAGATCAGTCCAGAAACCATGATAAATTGGAGTCTTCATCCGAATTACCAAAGGAGGCTAAATGAAATCATGGCCCAGAGAGAACCGACATTCCTGCTGTCTCTTTAGGTCTGTGTTTACATCCCGTCTCCATATTTATAAAGGATTTCGTTGGTTTTCCAGGTTTTTCTTTCATTTAACCAGGAAATGGTAGTTCAGACTCTTCGTCATGCCAGATGAAATGAGAAATGCAATTTTTTTCAAAGCTTTCAATTTCTTAGTCATTTATCTTAATGCGTTAGATTACTCTTTTTTTTTTTTTTTTTTTTGCTGCTCACCACTTATATATACATGGCTATTCTTTTTAATGTATTGGGCTCTGCGTGTCTTAGATCACCTTGTGTACTGGATTATAAAGGCTGGTAATTGTCATTCCTCAGACTTCTGTATGTTAAAGTGGCAACAGTAAATTTTTTGATGTTACCTTTTAAATAATTGTGTAGTATTGATATGCCTATGTTCAGGAGAAGCTTGAAACATAGCTAAACAAATAGGAATTTGCATTTCACTGTTCATGCATTTTTTTCCTCATAAAAATAAGTTTCCCAAAAAGTGACTTATTGTCTGTTAGGTGGTCCTGAGGGGTTGCACAGCCCTCCTCTTACTCAAGAGGTCTCTGTGGTGGTCAAATTGCCCAATTCACAAATGAGTGGGGACGCTGTTTTCAATAGTGGGAATTTTTAAACCTTAGTTTTAGTCCAAAAGTACCTGGGATGGGCTTCCACAGCTTGTAGTGTTTCCCTTCAGGACCGGCTTAAAGATGGTGGGCAGGAAGGCACTATTGCTTCCCGTCTCCGCGGGCTCCTCCTGCACAGGTGACCTTCTGTCACTTTGCACAACACGACCCCTGAGCCTCTTCCCACACCAGCCGCTCCCGGTCCGCTGCTGTTGGAAGGACGCCCTATCGCGTCCATCTTCTCCAACACCCACCACGGCCCCTGCCTCCCCAGAGCCGTCCCCTCCCAGGTGAGCAGACACCCCCCTCCCCCCCAGCTCAGTTTCCTGCCCGCAGGCTGCCAGGCAAGGCCCAGGTGCACCTGGGGAAGCGGACGCGGGTGGTCTTGCCTGCCCGCATCTCTCATGAGCGTGGTTGGTGCTGAGGGGCCCCGGGGAAGAACCTTTGCAGTTCTGTTGCGAACTTGAACTCGCAAATGCAGACACACGCTCCCTGACCGTGCTCTCCCGGGGAGCTCGGCCCCCACAATGCACTGGGACTGCCCTGTCTCCCGGGGGTCCCGTGAAGGTCGAGCTCTGTGGTGGACCAGTGGGTTCCTGTAAGGTAGGACGCTGGCTATTTTAAGGGGAAAAACCCTCTCTTGTAAGGAGTAATCATTTATAAAAACAAACTGAGTGTAGCTTGTGTGTTTTGTCGGTTCTACCCAGTTTGAGGCCCCCTCCAGTCCCAGCACCGCACTGAAGCTCCCGGCCATTTCCAGGCAAACTGGTGTTGTCCGGTCAGGCCACGCCCGGTGAATGGGGACACGGGGCCTGAGGGTCTGGACACCTAAGATCCACCACCTTTAGTTTGGATGGTTTTGTTTAGTGTTGATTTTTTGAAGGTCACTCTCAGTGAATGTAACACCATAGTTAATTATCCAAATGGATAATCAGGAGTGTAATTTTTTTCCAAATTAACAGAACAGATAGCTGCTCATTCTCATTATATATTTGCTTTCAAAAGCCCACCCACTATACCAGTTCGGCAGCCTGAATAAGACAATGAAGGCGAAAAGAGACCAGCCCTGGCCCTGGGGTCTGCACTCCGGACCAGCCGGTCGTAATGTCTGCTTTTGTTTGTGGTTTTTTAACTCAACAAGTTAGAAACTGTGAGTTTAAAACAAACTGTTTGCCCCTTCTTGAGCTTAAAGAGCATTTTTTTTAACGTTAGGTCCTCACAGAGGTGGGGGAGGCTGACCCCAGGCCGGAGTCTGCCTGAGGACTTTGGACATTCCTTCGACAAGGCTGCATGTGTTTGCAGTGAGCCTGCTGCGCTGTGCAGGCCCCGCCGCAGCTCGCTCACCTGCACTGCCCACGTTTGCACACACTCCTCCTGTGCTGCTCCGGCAGCTCCCTGGTCCTGGGCTGGGGCTGCCCGCAGGGCTTGTCCCTCGGGGAGGAGCAGAGAAAACGGCAGGAAAGCCGAGCTTGGTGAACATCAACAAGCATTTGAGAGAGTCTGTCTGCTCAGACTTTGACACTTTTTTCTACTTTTTTCTTTATTCCTGAGTCCCAACCACATACTTGCTTCTGGGGGTGGGCAGGGCAAGGATCAGAAGTAAAAACTGAACTAAGTGACAGGGCCAAGGCTGCCTGCCCCATCCCCTCGGTGTTTCTGTGTCGGAAAATGCATTATCCCGACTCCCTGTCCACCACGGAGTCCCTTAAGGAGGGAGCCATAAGCAGGTAGGGAGGAGAGGCAACTCAGAGACTTAATTATTGTTTAGATATTTTCTTCTTTGTCAGCTCAGGAATCAGCCTGGTTTGTGGGTAGCATAATATGGCTAATTAAACTATAACGTGTAGGTCACTGGACACGTCCTTTCAACAGTTTCATTTAAAGGCTTCTGACTGTTTTAGCTGGGAAGAGAGACCCCTCCTAATAGGGAAACTAACCTCACAAAAGACTTCCATAAACTCTTTCTAGAAGAGTGTGCATCAGCCAGCCTCTACCCCCAGAGTATGTGTTTCTTATCGATAGTATTTCAACAATTTTTATGGGAGAAAAAAATGCACATTTTTTATTTCCTGGAAAAATGAATTGAGGTGTTGAATTAAATTCTCAGAGGGGATCATTGAAAGGAAACACTGGCTTTGGAGATGAGCTCTTGGCTCTGTGGTCCCTGTTCCAGCATCGACTCTACTGTGTGACCTTGAACAAACGAATTAACTTCTCTGTGCCTCCGTTTCTCCACGTACACAATGGAGATCATGAAACCAACCACTGCCTACCTCATAGGGACGTTATGGGGACAGATGGGACCATCTGGAGGAACACCAATGCTTTGAACTCTGGAAGAAGGTGCTACAGGAATTGACATTGTATTGTTTTTTCTGACCCAAGTATTATGTTTAGGGCTTAAACAATAGCAATACTGTTAGTCGTGTTGGGAGTGAGTGTCAATTTCATGCCTATTTACAGCCCTCTTCTCGGCCAGGCCTGACCATCCAGCCAATCACGGTACCTAATGACTGAGTGTTTATTTGTTTTCTGTGTTTCTACCCATAGTGTTTTATTCTGAATGTTCCCAAGGCTGGGGGTTAACTTCTAATATCTTATTGTTTACATGTAATGGAACTTATGCGAGTTGTGTATAAAGAATAATTACAGGTAAATAGCAGGTACATTGTAATTAAGGCACTTATCAAATTGTCTTTGTTCTTTTTGTTTCAATAAAGGCCAGTTTTATATAAAAAGCTTGTTAAAATTCATTTGGTCTTTGGGAAGATCAAGAGTGGCTTATTTAGCCCAGCCGGCATGGCTCAGTGGTTGAGCCACGACCTGTGAACCAGGAGGTCCTGGTTCGATTCCCAGTCAGGGCTCGATCCCCAGCCTGGGGTATGCAGGAGGCAGCCAATCAATGATTCTCCCTCATCATTGATGTTTCTCTCTCTCTCTCTCTCCCTTTCCCTTCCTCTCTGAAATCAATAAAAATATTTTTTAAGTGGCTCATTTATATGCCCGTAGTGTATAACCCGGGTTTGGAATTTAAGCTGCCAACTCGCCACCATGCCAGGAGGATGTGCCGGTGGCTGGACTCCCACACTCCGCAGAGAAGGCGCTGAGCTGGAGGCCAGCTCCTGAGGCCTGAGGAGGCTGCTGGGCTGCTCTGTGCTGTGTCCACACAGGAAGCAAGGGGTCACAGTGCAGACCCCACCGGGCCTCTTGGGACCGTCAGGCCGTGGCACCTTGGCCTCAAGCCCCTGCTTCCTTTCTCACCGTGTGGCCAGTTTCCACACAAACTTTCCCAGGGCTGATGGTCCCAGCTCCACACTGTGCGAGGCTCAGAGCA